GTTAAAACGTCTTTTAATCCATTAAAACGTTCTTGATTATTTTCCAGATTTGTTTTAACTGATACGACAATGTTTATATCAATTAAAACTCTTTGTAAAAAATCTTCTGATTTGTTTTAATCGATTGTTTCGTCTTTCAATCGATTAAAATACTGCAAGATATTCTTATAAACTTTTTCAAGTGATTTTAACTGATAAAAGATCGTATTAATCGATTAAAACGCGTAGTATAAATTTTCTTAAGTTGATTTAATCGATTGAAACGTAATTTAATCAATTGAAATAATTCTGATCGGTCATAACTAAATTCTGATCGATCATATCTGATTCTGATCGGTCATAATCGCATTCTGATCGGTCATACAGTATACCAAATGAAATTAATCGATTAAAATGAAGTTGTATCGATTAAAATACTGCCAAAACACTTCTCCGAACATTTTAAGTGATTTTAATCGATTATTTCAAGTTAGTATCGCTTAAAATATCGATGTAAGGTTTTCAAAACTTTCTTTAATGAAAACAATCAGTTATTTCGAAATTATATCAGCTTAAATATAAAAATGTGAAGAACATTTTAGTTGATAGAACATATATGCTATTAGTTAAAAATAGTTAATTCAAAAGCTTTTATCAAAATACTTTGTTTTTAACTCGTTTAAACGTTTTTAGAAGCATTTTGCAAAATCTTTTAAGTGAAGAAACCTCATGCAGCAGAAAAGATAAAAATGATTATACCTAAGCAGAGCTGCAGACACACTAATCCCTCTACTCTTTTATCTAAGTGACTTTTGACTGCCACAAAGTTGCATTTGACTTCATTCTTGACTTCATCAAATCAACAAGATCTTAGCCAGAGTATTTCAATAAGATCTTTTAAGTATTTCATGACATATGCCTTTAGCCAAAACTTTAATTTAGTTAGATCACTTTATTATTTGGCTTAATAATTAATGGCCCTAACGCATTTAAATTATGTATCATATATATACATGACCCAAAATTTGCCAACAATCTTCCACTGGTCACAAATATATATGTCCTTACAATCTTACAAATGTGTTAGACTTTATGAGCTCAAAATTGTCATTATATTCCTTTAGCATATTCCAAAAGTCCTGTCCATTGATCATATCAGGATATAGAATCAAACCAGCTTTTCATTGCATCATCGCAACTAAAACCAACAATGATTACTCATCCTAACATAACCAAATGACATGGATTCATCATGAAATGTGTAGCATGAAAAATTACGTGAATGTGATCTGTACATGTCTATTTTCAACTGGTCCCAACTTTAACTTATCAAGATCAATATAATATCCTTAATGTACAAAATGTAATGAATGAACGAAAAAACTGCATATCTATAGATAACCAAATATGTCCAAAAATCAATGTATACATATATGAAATTAAACATAGAACATAAAATATATGAAAGTGACTAACTCCCACTAAACCACAAATTCCTCAAACTGTAAAACACCCATGTGAGCAAAATGCTCATGAAAGACCTTGGGCGGAAGTCCTTTAGTTAGAGAATCTGCTATCATGGAGTTTGTTCTTAAGTGTTCTATGAAAATTTGTCCACTTTGTACTCTTTCCTTAACAATACAGCTGATTTATTGTCACAATATAACTTAAGTGGTCTTTCAATGCCTTTCATAATTTGCAGCCCTGTGACAAAATTTCTCAGCCATATTCCATGATTTGATGTCTCATAGCATGCTACAAATTCTTAACATCCTGTAAATTTTGAGTCAGAAAACCCAGCGATCTCCAACTGGTCTGACCTCCTATATGTGAGCATATAATCTTTTGTTCTCTTTAAATATCTTATGACCCTTTTTGCTGCTTTCCAATGGTCTATTCCTGGATTGCTTAAATATCTGCCTAGAACCCCAACTATGTATGTTATGTCTGGACGCGTACATATTTGGGAATACATCAAACTCTCTATAGCTGATGTATGGGAAATCTTCTGCATTTCCTCAATTTTCAAATTCCCCTTTGGACACTGATTTAGACTAAACTTGTCTCCATTAGCAACTGGAGTATCCCCGGCTCATGATGCATAGGTTCTTGAGGATCTTGAGTTTGTTCTTGACGAACAATCAAATCATCTTGAGTATGGGGTTCATTATCAATGTCTTGTGGAGGTTCCGAACTTACTTTATCAAAAGTAACTGTTTGAATCGCTTTTGGATTTGTTGTCGATTCTTCCTCCAAGATAAAATTCTTAATCTTATTCTCCCCCCCCCCCAAAATCAATATCCTCAAAGAACATAGCAGTTCCCGTCTCAAAATTGTCTTTAATGTGGGATCATAAAATTTATATCCCCTGGCTCTTTCAGAATAACCAATGAAGTAACTACTTACTGTTCGGGAGTCCAATTTCTTTTCATTTGAATTATAAGGCATTGCCTCAGCTGGACAATCCCACACATGGAAATGCTTTAGACTAGGCTTTTGCCCAGTCCAAAGCTCATAAGGTGATTTGGTAGCTGCTTTAATTGGTACTCTGTTTATAATATAAGTTGCAATCTTTAGTGTCTCTCCCTAGAGTGATTTTGGTAAGGTGAAATGACAAATTATACTCCTTACCATATCTTTAAGAGTGTAACACAAGCTCAAACGCCACGATTAGATTGTGACCTGAGCGTCTGTGCCTTAATGCACCTAAGTGAGTATTGTCAATTTTACGTTTAGTACCACAATATTAAGTAAATATAGATTATCATGAGCCAAAAGTGAACATGTTCTAACAATATCTTAATTAAAAGACAAACTGAACTCATTGCTTCCAAATGAACACAAATAACCTAATTTGTCCAAATAAGAAATTGAAACCAAATTTCATCTAAAAGACGGCACGACAAAAGTGTCTTTTAAATCTAAAATAAAAAATCATTACACAATAATAATCTAAAATGTCCAATAGTCTCCATCTCCACCGATTTATCGTTTTCAACGTATATCCATCTTTTAGAATCAGTTGGCTTCCGGTAGTTTAGGCAACCCTTTCTTTTCACGCCAAGCATGATATTTAGCACATTGTTTCTTTACGTGTCCAGTCTTATTGCAAAAGAAACATTTGTTTTCTTGAGTTTGTTTCTTTTGTTCGGACCTTTAGCAGTCTTCCTTCTTGGGATCCTCCGATCTCTTTCTTTTGCCTTTAGCCTTAGAGGTGCTTGCAAAATGAGAACTTTCTGTCTTGTCTTACTTTAGCCTTTCTTCTTCTTGTACACAATGTGAAATGAGCTCATTAAGAGACCATTTATCCTTCTGACAGTTGTAAGATACCTTAAACTGATTAAACGTTGCGAGAAGAGAAATCAACACCAAATGAATGAGCAAGTCTTCTGAGAGTTCGAGCTTTAGTGCCTTGAGTTTAAAAACAATATTAGACATGCTCATAATGTACTCCCTGATATTTCCTTTACCCTGATATTTCATGGAGATCAAGTTCTGAAGAAGAGTGCTTGCCTCCGCCTTATCGCTTTTTGCAAAGCGCTGTTCAATTTCAGCAAGGAACTCTTTGACACTTGTGATGTTTTCAGAAACAGTGCCCCTAAACACCTTCAGGATGTCGCGCTTAATGATCATTAGACTCATGCGATTTGAGCGATCCCAATTCTCATAATTTTTTTTACTGTTAAGAGGTACTTGAATCCGTAGGAACAGGGGGTTACTCAGTCCTTAACGCAAGATCCATATCCATGCAGCCAAGAATAATATCAATGTTCTCTTCCAGTCCTTAAAATTTGTTCCATTGAGGACCGGAACATAATTTAAATTGGCAGATACAGAAACAATTGTAGTTGAATTAAGAACAAAAGAAATAAATAATTATGCTCACATTATAAAAATAAATAATTATAAATAAAATATATATTCAAATAATGGTTTAACCCATCTCAAGACATCCATGCACCATCAATATCAAGTCTTTGGACGATAATATTAACTCGCTAGAAGTATCTTGTTGTAATAATCAAACATTGATAATAAAGCACGTCCAACAACAAACCAGTCTTTGGATTAATTTATCATCGACAAAGCAAATCCTTATAATTATCACATGTTTATCATTACAGGTGTGTATGTAATTCGGCCAAATATTAATCTTCCTTTTGGCTGACTAATACTCGCATGAATATACACAAACACTAACATTCAATATTTTTTTACTGAACTACCCAATTTAAGAAAGGTTACTTTGGTAATTTCTTGACTCAATTTGTTCACAAAAAATATTAAACACCAAAAATTAATATTTTATTTATATTACAAAACCAAATATTTAATAATTATTTATTTAAAATTAACAAGGAAAATTAATTCTTATTAAGCCATAGGCCAAATGGCCAATCATAATACCAACCTCGTCCCTCACGCCTTTTCTTGATTTCTTTCTCACTATATGAAGGAGCTGCATCTGAAATTTGCCATCACCGCATGAGCAGTCCAACATCAATCCCTATCCCCAAGGCCAATTCCAACACTCGAAACAATGGAGTTCCAAGTAACAACATCTTTCACAGGCATTGCAACAAACACGTGGCAGGCCTCACCAAGCTGGCCACTTTTTAGCAAATTTTTTTTTAATGTTCTGTAGTGGCAGATGAACATAAGGGAAACCGGGTCAAACCTTCTAACTCACCAGATTCTAGCGGGTGAGCGTGCCCAACACTCGAGAACCCAAAAATAATGCAACTAGATTGACTACAAAGGGCACGCTCACCTTCTAACATCTCTTTTGTAAAATCACGGTGAAGCCATGTCAAGAAATTCTAGCCACTGATGTCAGTTCTCCCTAAACACAATGCTTAATAATTCAATGTTTCAATGTCATTGACACAAAGAATGCAGAAATTTATCACCGTTGTTCAAAAACAGCGCATGAAAGAGAAACATTTGCACGGTCAAATAAGCAGTGTACGTTAATTGGAGAGAAGCGCAAAACTGAGCTGAATCGAGTGTTGCTGCCGGCAATGGTGATGAATTCCATGCCACCGCCTACGATCTGCTGCGTGCGTGAGTACGATGACATAGCTTGAAGTGTGAGGAGTACGCATTGAGCCCGCAGGTGGGTGAGAAGGCCATCGGAGGAGGAGGTGGAGCCACGCGTGGTCGAGCTCACGTTATTCATCTCTCTCCTGCTCCCCAATTGCTATTTCTAGCGTTGCATCATCTCCATCAATTCTTAATTTTGAGGTAACGTGACATGGAACACACCACGTTCAACCACCGCATCTCGTACGACGACGAGTCCGTCGTGTCTTTTAAACGACTCACAATTTCCACTAATAAGGACGCCGAAAGCTCCTCCACCATTGGCAATCAAATTGCAAATTGCAATCCAAATTCGAAATTAGGTTTCAAAATTGGGAATTTAACCCCGAAATTTGATTTTCAAATTCACGAAAATAGGATATTATTCTTAAAATTGGGTAATTTGAATTGTTAAAAATAAAATTAATCCTAATTTTCATAATTAGGGTTCTATAAATTAAATAGATGAATCAAGTATGGGTTGCTCTGATACCAATTGTTAGGATCGAGCGCTTACCACTAGGCCAAAAGTTATAGCCTTTAGTCAGAGCGCAACTCTTTTTACTTTAAGAGCCCAAACACCACGATTCGATTGTGACTCGGGCCACCTGACATTTGTCATAGGACAATTGATGCTACCTGCAACAATCTCCCCCTCAACAATTGTCCTACAAGGTATCTCATTCTTGGATTGTGACTCGGCCCACCCGGCCTCCGCCACGAGACAATTGTGCAACCCGCAACAATCTCCCCCTCAACAATTGCCCACCAGGAATCGAACTCGTGACCTTGGCTCTGATACCAATTGTTAGTTAAACTGTAATTAATTATGATCTTCATTCTAACGATCAAATATAAATATAATCTCATACTGATAAACATACTATAAACTTAATGCGAAAGGGTACCTGAATTTACTATAATGATAATGTCTCTTTTAAAGTACTATTGATCTTATGGTCTTCCACCTGGAGAGCACCTGTATTTCCCTCTGGATTTTCTCTCTTGATGGGGATAGAAAGAAAGTAACGGGACTGATACTTATGTTCTGTGTGTGTGCTCCCAGAAAGGGATCATGACCCTTTAAATAACTAGAATTAGGTTAATTACTTAAGTTTTAGTATTTCCAATTTGGTCTCTCATCAAATTAAAAATTACTCTATGATCTCTATACAATTTTATTTTCATGACATATGTCTTTAGCCAAAACTTTAATTTAATTAGATCACTTTATTATTTGGCTTAATAAATAATGGCCCTAACACATTTAAATTATGTATTATATATATACATTACCCAAAATTTTCCAACATTAATCACTTGTTCAAATATACGATTAATTTTTTCACAGGTTTCATGCTTTTGATCTCCCTCCACCTCGTGTCTCTGCCTTGAGAGTTCTTGAATTAAAAGAGCGAGGTGTTAATGAGGAACGAGCAATGGCTATAGCTGATGTATGCAACCTAACTTGGTTCCTGAATAAGTTATCTCAAATTTGTTCCTCTAACAAGCAGTTGTATTGTTTTTATTTTATTCCCACTTTATAGATGGAATATCTGACAGAGAAGAAGGCAAAGAAGAAAGCATATACCCGTTTGAAGCAAATTGCACGCCTTCAAGGAAAGAGACTTCCTCCAACCCATATCCTAGTGCTATCAAGGAGATACAAACTGAGGAGAGGAAATATGTTCGTGAGCGTTTCTTCAATCCCAAGATACTCGAAATTGTGAAGCAACAGAAAGCCGAGACAATGGAAAGATTCAGTGGGCATGGTGGTAGTGATTGGTGACTTTTATGGTGGAAAGTTACACTACAGTGAATGTTTGGATCTGACAATAATATTTATCATTCAGCCACAGAAAATTCGTACTTCTTTCATGATAATTAGGTGAAATATTTATCTGTTGTAATAGATAAACAGCAATAGAAAGTTTTACAAAATTTCATGGGAAGGTTATTTTTTTTTTGTTGAATTTGATCATTAACCATTTTTCCTTGGAGTGTCTTGGTACTTATCATCAGTAGAATGTGTTTCCTTTATAAACATACTTAGATTACTTGCTACACAGCGTACGAAAGAATCTGCAGCTCCAATTAGTGACACAACATTTTGCTACTATTATTTCAGTTTGACTAACCGTAAACCATCAACAATGAATTTCTCATTGTAATCTGGAATAATTTGTTTCCACTGTCTTTAGATCGATTTCCTCCAGATCGAGTTTCCAGCGTGATCAGTTACATTGCTTATTGAAGATTTCAAATGTTATCTTACGTGCAGCAAAGTTAGTATAAATTTGTCTGTCTTCCTTTGAAATATTTGGAAGCCTCACTTCCTGAGGGAATTTCCAATGGTTGGATCATTCCAAATTTTATTATATATATATTTTTTGGTTTAATTCTTGTAAAGAAAAATGATGAATTGCCAAGAGAAAATATGAAATAGAAGAAAATAAGAAAATGTTAAAAAGTGCATAATGTGTATCCTAAAAACGTTTCAAATAAACTAAGGGTCGTTAGATTGATTCTATTATACCATATATCCCTTCTAGCAATAACTTTTGTAGATATTACTCCAAGTTAAAGGTAAAATCATATTAGAATCGAACTAATAAATGAATCATTTGATCAGTCTATGAAATCGAAGATGATATAAATTGGTTTGGTCGGAGGAACCTTTCGGCTTAGTGCAACAGTCTATTCAACAAACTGTACTTGAAGAAAAAGGAAGGAAGTAGTGAAGACAAAAAAGGGAAGAAAAGAAAAGCAGTCAAAGTTTTTAATTAGAAAGATCTTTAAAAGAATCAATATGTAGGTGTGAAATTGTGGGTGAAGCTGCAATCAAACTACAGAAAAGTTCAACTAAGCAGAGAAGTGTTATTATAAATTCGAAACAAATGTCATGCAGGAATGTCTATATTAATGTGCAGGTGGTATGCGAAGTGTGAATTCAGTAAAGGTAGAACAGCAGAAAGGGGTGGAGTACACCAACTAAAAGATTGGTTCCTGTTCGTTTCTATATCATTTCTTCGAGGGAAAGCGATGCCAATTCTTTCTCTCTTTCCAAGCTTTTTTTATTCTGCATTTAGAAGAACTATTATATTAGGTAAAGAATCTAAAGATTATAAAAGAAATATTGTTGAACGTAAAGATATTCGTTAATTAGTGGACACTTTCACAGTTCTGGATTTACAAAATGTCTGGACACAGCAATATCAAACGAAAAGAAGCTCACAGAAATTATGGATTTATATCCCTCTCTCTCCAAGGAAAAAATAGCAGGTTGTTGCACATGTGTCAGTTTCTTCAAGCTGATGATTGGTCCCGATCCAATAATATTAGGACAAAACATTGATCCTTATGTTTTTTTAATGTCCTCTTTTGAAATAAATGGGAGGATAAAGTCATTAAAAAATGAAACTAAAATTACCTATTCACAATTTTATTGGTACCGCAAACTACACCACACAATTTTGTATCCAATTCCAAAAGGAGAGAAGCATGAGACCCAATAAAGTCATTTCCAATCATGCTTTGAATTTGTGATGTGTAAAATTGGATCATATTTCAGACACCATTTTCCTTTCCTTACAAGTTGGCTGACCTCATGCGTGGAAAGTGGAACAAACCCATCCGAACCAACCAAAATAAATCCTTATTTTCTAGGGGGTGAATGCACACCACCACCATGCTTCGAGTCTTTTGGCCAAAGCACAAACCCAATTTGTTCACAGATTACAAACACAGCACCGTGGAGTCATTATTAACATAAAAACAAAGAACCTTCCTCTCTGCATTTCTTTGCCACCTTTTTATTATACTTGCACCACACAAACACACATCCTTTTTTGTCTCATTCAAATTCTCCCTTCAACTTCTTTCCCTGTCACCGTCCATTTAATTTGTCCTAAAACTTGTGTTCCGCGTGCAAAACTATTCAGCAGCCCCTACTCGCTCGTTTCGCAGCCATGGACTTGGCATCACCATCGCCATCATCAATCGCACTTTCTTCATTGCAACCCCATAACACCCTTTCAAAAGTTTCCATCTTCCAACGTTTAACCCCTCCGACAACCTTAATTCCATCATGGGCATGTTCCACCAAACCCAGCACCACCCTCTCCCCGGTGTCCTCAAAGTTCCCGTCTTTCCTTCGTTGCTCCACAAAACCAGACACCAGCGCCAATAGCGAGACGCAACACAACAAGCCAAACAATGAACCCAATTCAATTTCCAACTCCCAAAATGTATCTCAATCAGAGTCAGCAGCAAGTGAAGCCTTTTCTTCTTCACCACCTTTAGAATCATCACATTCCTCTTCCTCAAGAGGGTTGGTGTTGGATTTGGGTCCTTCAAACTCTTGGGACAGTGCAGATGTTGGGTCTCCAGTGGTGAAGAGGTTTCTGAGTGATGAAGAGGAGAGGTGGTACATGTGGTATCATGGGAGGGCCAAAGGGCACCCTTCTTCTGATTTGATAGGGTTGGCGATTTCAAAAAATGGGGTTCACTGGGAGCGTGGGGGAGGGCCTGCTAGGTCAAGTTCTGATGTGGGATTTGTGATGAGTTGTGGTAAGGATTGGTGGGCTTTTGACACTGGTGGCATTAGGCCTTCTGAGATGGTTATCATGTCTAGTTCCAGGGTTAGGGCTTCCAGCGCTGTTTACTGGCTTTATTATACTGGCTATGCTTCTGACAGGGTGGAGTTTTCTGATCACGCTTTGGAGTTCAGTGTGGAAAACCCCGATGGAATCAAAAGTGATATGAGTTGTGATAATGGGAAGGTTTTGAAGTCCTTGCCTGGTTTGGCTATTAGTCAGGATGGGAGGCATTGGGCTAGGATTGAGGGAGAGCATCACAGTGGAGCACTAATTGATGTTGGATCTGGAAAAGAGTGGGATTCTTTGTTTATTTCTTCCCCACAAGTTGTTTACCATGGGAATGGTGACATCAGGATGTATTATCACTCATTTGATGTGGAAAAGGGGCATTTTGGTATCGGGATAGCCAGGTCAAGGGATGGAATTAGGTGGGTGAAGTTGGGGAAAATAATGGGGGGAGGGAGAGGTGGCTCTTTTGATGAGTTTGGAGCAATGAACCCGTGTGTGACAAGGAACCGGAGTGGCGGGAACTATGTGATGGCATATGAAGGTGTTGCTGCTGATGGGAGGAGGAGCATTGGTATGGCTGTGTCTCCTGATGGATTGAAGGAATGGACGAGGCTTCAGGATGAGGCAATTTTAAGGCCTTCAGACCAAGGTTGCTGGGATGATAAGGATGTTGGATCCCCATGTATGGTTGAAATGAATACAGAAGGAAATGAGTGGAGGTTGTATTATAGAGGTGTTGCCAATGGAGGGAGAATTGGAATAGGAATGGCTGTTTCAGAAGGGAATGATATTGCAAGTTTTAGAAGATGGACAGGTTTCCGTGTATAATAATGAGCTAGGTGAATGCAATGTTTTCTTATCAATTATTTAAACATAGTCTCTATTCTTTATGAATTGATCTTTTTGCTGAGTTTCAAATTGAGTAGTTTTGTATTTAGTGTTATTGTTGATTAATAGTACACTTTCTTGTACAGTAAGGTTTGAATTTGTTCTAATTTTTGTGAATATGGTAACATCTTATTGGTCTGAACAGCAGCAGGAATCTTAAGCGATAAAATTAACATTGGTCACCGCAATGCAGTGTCCAGTAGCAAATATGTTTAGACACAAAATCTAGCATTCTATTTTTGTTTGCTTGTCCTCTGATTGATCCTTTGGCTTATGTTGCAACAAAATCTCTTTTCTTCAAGAACTTCCAAAATTGCAATGTAGACCCCTGGGTACTAAAGGGGCCATGCTCGAGAATTAACTCTGTTTAACAGTAACTGTGCTGTACAAATCACCTCAATGAATGGCCACTAAATTCTTTAATCCTCGTATTTTAAGGTGAGCTCTTGCATCATATAATCCCAACGTTATCATTTGTTAGACATTCATACAACTTTATCTGCTTTGGTATGTTTGGACTCTGAATCAAATTCCCTGCACCTACCATGTGAACTTGGTTGTTTCTTGAAAATATAGCTCGACAAACACAACCTACCTGGTTCAAAGCCATGGAAGGAACAGTTGATCTCTTTCTCATATTATTGTCATTTCATGTTGATTTCTTATTTTTGCTTGAGACATTTTGGAATTATTTTCTGGGTGTATATCATGTGAGGCAATTTCACCTGAAAGGCTGTCTTTCTGGATGTTTCTTAATTCGTTTCAGTCTTGGAGCGTTTGTGTACCCAGTAGCACATGTTGTTAAAGAAGCAGCAACAGTTTTTTACTTTGGTTTCACGCCCGTTTAAGTTCCAAGGATGGAGAAACAAATGCACTTAGTTTTTATTCCAACCACAAGATTTTGCATTTCACTTTTTGAATAATGATTCTTTCGTTTGTGAAACCACCAATCAATTCATTTTTGCAGTAGTGGTCTACATCCTTCAGTACGTGTGATTTGCTTCCAGCATTTGATTCTAGCATAGTAGCAATAAAGAACTTCTATTTTGTGGCAAATTGAGGCGAATTTTTCCATTATGTTTTCTGTTCTGTCATTTATCTCTGTCAGATGTGTTTCTAACAGGCACTTAAATAGCCGAGTTTGATGCCCAACGTTAACCAGAATCATATTATAATTATCTCATTGTTGAGGATTTTGAATTCTGCATAAGTTTACTGGTGTTCCCGATAGAAAATTTCTTTCTCTCTTTTTGTCCTTTGTGACCCAAATAATTGAACCAATTCAAAAAGCTCAATGATATAGGATTTTATATTTGACCTTGAATGATTAAATTAAAACACAAGAACTTGAAAAAAGAAAAAAATCAAGCTTCTAAAAAAAAATGAATATTTTTATGTGGGTGTGAAAACAAGCCCGATAGTGTGCGCTGCTGAATAAAGTGATCCAAAAAAGGGCATGAAGGAAACTAAAGATTGGTTCATGTTTATGCTCCTTTCCTTGATGAACAAGAATACCATTTCTTTATCTTGCTCAAGGAAAGTTCTGTTTATTTTATGCTGTTACAAAAGAATTATTAAATTATGTAAAGACAATGATTCTTCAAAGAGCACGTTCACTCTCCTGGTTGATGCTAAATAAAAGCAGCACCACTCTCTGTTGAGTAAGTAGACTTTATGTGATCAATTTGTGTGTACAAAATCATTGCACTAGGTTACAAGTTAATAAATAATGGTTATTTGTATACGGATATGTTATGAGAGAAAGGATACGAGAGAGAAGGTAAAGTGAGAGATTAATAACAGATTCACACACACCAAATGAGAGAAAGAATGCGGGAGAGAAGGTAAAGTGATAGAGAGACAAATCAAATTTTGTTATTCAAATGATGAAAGAGTCAAATGTCATTTATAGTATACCTGCTAAAACTAACTGATGTAAGTTACTCACTTTCAAATAGCAATCCACAATTCACTTGTTATTTGAATGACATTCTAACACCCTTGGATTCAAAAGCTTACAAGCAAATTACACTCAAAGATTCTCTCAACTTTGTATATTTTCAATCTTCAATGACTTGGTCATTATATCCAACAATTGTACGTCTGTCCTGCAATGTTTTAATTTGATCTTGTCCTTCTTACTTGATCCTTGAGGAAATAAAACTTCTTGTCTATGTTTTCTTCTGCCCTGAGATACGGGGTTTTTGGCCAAAGTCTATAGCTGATTTACTGTCCACAAGCAATTCAACAGCATCACCAACATATACCTTCAACTCACTAAGCAAGGAAGATAACCACACTGTCTGACAAGCAGTTGAACAAGCTGCGATGTATTCTACTCCACAAGTTCATAGTGCCACCAATGTTTGCTTCTTTGAGTTACAGGATATAAGAGATCCAGCAAATAGGATGACATGTCTCATAGTGCTTCTCCTATCAATCAAATCACCACACAAATCATAATTAGAATAAGTTACAAGATGTAGACTATCATCCTCCTTGATTTGATGAGAGAAAATGATTCATATCCCAGAATTTCCTTTAGATATCTCAAGATTCTCTTAGCCGCTGATGTTGTTGTTTAGGTCACTCATGAACCTACTCATAAGAAAAGCAATTTTTAGTCTACTATGAAAAATGAACCTCAAGCAACACTAATAATATAATGACGAGACTAATAAATATAAATGTTTAATAATATGACCAATAAATAAACTAAGTAAAAATATTTCACGTAATATTAATTAGAAATGATAATATCACATCTTAACTAGTGAACCATTAATCTAATTTATTCTAGGGAAGTAATTTAGAATCTTAAAACATTGTTTATATATATATATATATATATATATATATGTTTAATATCTTTATATTTTTAATAGTATTTTTTTATGCTGATGTCTTGATAGCGGTACGTCTAAAAAAAGTTATATAACAGATTAAAATAAAAAAATTAATAAAGAATTCTCAAATTTGTTTTTAAATAATAAATACAATATAAATATTTGAGAATATTATTATGATTTAATATTTTTGACATAAATTGTTGCAAATAGTTAAATAAATATGTTTAGAGTAAAAAATATTTTGAAAGGCATACATGAACGAGATGGATATTTATTGTCCTAATCATTTTTCATAGTACCTGTCTGGATAAACTATGGATTCAGATAAATATAAAATTTTCGTGTCTTAAGCGTGTTTATTTCCTAATATTGCCTACCATTACCAGTTTAGGATTAACCTAACCAATAAGTATATTATAATTAAATTATTTTAATCTAATACGCTTTAGTTCATATATAAAATTTCAAAAAAATTTAATTAAAGATTGCATTTTTTTTCTTAGATTTTGTAGTTGATTAGATAGTTATTTGTGAAAACTAATTACTATAAATGATTTAAGAAAGTACAATTATGAGGATATTTATGTAGATTCATAAAAAAATATAATTTTTTTCACAATCTATTTTAACTTATGAAAAAATATATCGGTTTTTGGCTGTAAACAGAACTTCTTCTTTTTTTCATTAGTTTTAATCCCCATTTGTACACTTACTAATCTGTTTTAAGACAAGACTAAATTAAGCGAATTAAAAAGTTTATACCGTCGAAAAGATTAAAAATAAAAGTAATTTCTAGCTGTAAGACATATTTTCAGGTAAAATAACTAGATGAATAACTAAAAACATTTGAAGGATGAGAAAAGAAAATACTTACTACTTCTGAAGCAAACTGAATCAAACGAAGATGATACTACTTGACATGTTAGGATCCTAGTTACATAGTTTACTTATAACCAAGCATGCTATTCCAATAATCCTTATTCTCCTCGAAGTTTACTTCCAAGTTCTCCGCTGCTAAATCTTGGTTGGAATAAAAATCCTGCTCGTGGTTATTGAAACCAACAACCATATTGAGATTGCTAGAGAGAGGTGTAAATGCCACCATATTATCATTATTATTGCCATAACAACCTCTGAATGCATCAACAGCCACCATAATGTCATCGTCTTGCGAAAATGACATCGTGTCGTACATAATTCTCTTCTCAGTTTCAGCATGTTCTTCATCATGATCAGTGCTGCGTTTGGTCAAGTATCTCCACGACTCGTTCTTGTCACTATCACAACCAACATCTTCCTTCACGGTTGCGCACTCACTACACGTTCCTAAACTTTTGGTCATAAACTCTTCCACAGTAGTTGCAGCAAGTAAATAGTTGTCATTGATTAACCCAACTTGGTCGGTCGACACCATAACGTTATTATCATTACTATTATTGGTTTGCATACTCTCGGGGAAGCATAAGGTGGATGTTGGGGATTCAAGGTCATCCGTGGCAAGCATCATTGCATACATGCTATGCCCATGCATGGTTTTCTTCTTGTCGTGTAGCGATGAGTATTTGTTGTTGTTGTTTGACCATGAACTTTGCCATGCCTTGAGGACGTCGAGGCACGGTGGTAGTAAGGGTTGGTGGTGTTGTTGGGGGGTGATTTTGTTGAGAATGAGCCTAGTTTGTTGTTGAGGTGGCGAGGAAGAGGTTAATACGAGGTTGTTTTGTTCTTGCAACTTGGATTCTTGTACGAGTCTGGCTTCAGCTTCTAGCCTAGCACTCTCCCACTGAGCCATGTGGCTGAGGTTGGAACCGTCTTTGAAGTGGATTAGGGACTCGAGTTTTGGCTTGTGGGTGGTGGGGTCTATGCCCATTTTGTCGAGCCTTTTCTTGAGGTGGGTGTTCCAATAGTTCTTTATCTCATTGTCGGTTCTCTTGGGCAAGTGAGATGCTATGGCTGACCATCTGTCAATCAACAATTCAAGTTGCAAACTTCATCAATATGGATACACCTACGACTTGGTGAAATTCTTAAATAGCCTACATCAATGTCTTATACTCTCCATACGTATTTGTTTTGTGTCTTTAATTTCGAATTCATATGAAAATACTAGTTATTAGTAGGAATGTAAAAACGCTAGTTCGATATGGTTTTATATAATCGTAAAAAATATGGACGAGTCAATTTGCCCTATAATCATAATTTTTCCTTAGCATGATGTTATCTTAGCTCAATGACTGATTAATCAATTTTAATATATTTAAAAATTAAAAAAAATTCTAAAGTCTATATATCAAAATAAAAATAAAAAATTATTTTTAAAGTTTAAATTATATTAATAAAATTATTTTTTATTTTAAATATAATATTTTAATATATAAAATACATTCAATTCTAAAATAAAAATTAAAAACTTATTTATTATTATTAATTTTTATTTTTTTAATAATTTATTTACCTAATAATTCATCTTAATTATTTGATTTAAAAAAAATAGATACTAAAAATTTATTTTTATAATTATTCTGAGAATAAAAAATTTCTTATCAAATTAATTTATAATATATATAAATATAATAAAATATTATTATTATTTTATTTATTTAAAAATAATTTTTATTTATAAAATAGGTTAATCCATCAATTTTTGAACTAACTCAACTTAAGTTCATAAAATTATAACCTAAAGTGAAAGAATCAAAATAGATCTATATTAAATTAAATCACAATTTTTTTTTATCTTACCTTACCTTATTCCTCGTAATCTTTTAAATTGAACTATATGATTAAACTTACATTAACATCCTACTTGTTATATAATTTGGACTTAAATATAGAATTATTCAACATTAAAACAAACAAGCATTTAATCCATACATTTTCATGTAATCTATATGTAATTAAGATTTTTATTCTATTATAAAACTGTTAATGAAATTCAGTTATTTTGGAAAGTTCCTTTTCCCATCTTGAGGTTTAGGCAAGAGGAAACAATTACAGAAAGTGTCGTAAATGTATAGTGGAGTTATTCAGAAGATGTTGTACAAGAAAGTGTCGATAGAACTCAAATACTCAAGAGAGTATTTATTGAATTGATTTCAAGCACATCATGGTTTCAACTTACTGAATTAAAGGTCTGAAATAGATTATTTTTAATAAAATCATTTTTAGTAGACTCTTATCCTGGTATTACAGTGGTCAATTTGTTTGTTAATGTTAAAAACTTCTTACCAAAAACTTAACTATGTTGAACCATCCTAGTTTTATAGAGAGAGATAAAAATAATCCTCAATACATACACACATATTGAATGAATTCGGAAATGTCGGTTGCGCGTAGAGTAGAAACACATGAACAAAGGGAGTTTTTGCAAACCATTGGATGAAATGAAAAGGGAAAGATGAGTGATCAAGGAATTTTCTTTTAGGAAAACAATGACAATACTGCATGCTTCATTCATTTTATTTGAAAAATATGACCTTTGTATGTGTTGCACTTCTACTGTACATGTTTCATGCTACAGAAATCTGCTTGACTTACCTGTTTCCTAGAAGAGCGTGAAGTTGAATAATGGTTTGCTCTTCCTGCAGGCTGAACTTTCCTCGTTTTATATCAGGTCGGAGGTAATTAGTCCACCTCAGTCTGCAACTCTTTCCACATCTTCGCAACCCTGCCAAACAAACAGTACCATCACCACTCATTAATTTCTTCCTTATAATATATAATACCTATCTATGATCCAGGGGGTTAGGTTTTAGGAAATAAAAACCAAAGTATATGCTATCTTCGAGAATTTCCAATCTACAAAGTATAAAATTTTTCCATCCAACATAATTTGTTCACGCATACGGCTGCCATTTATATCATATTGGTAAACAAATGCAAAAATTATGGTCGAAATAATTACCAGCTTTTTCAGGCAAAGCACGCCAGCTTCCATGGCCTTGCTTTTCAATGAAAGCAATGAGCTTTTGGTCTTCTTCTGGTGTCCATGGTCCTTTCTTCAGCCCCGTCTTCTCACAGCATGGTGACCTTCCCATTGTTTTGGTTTATGCAGAATTTGTTGTGGAGAAGCTTTTCACCATAAAAGAAATAATGCAGAGAATAAGAGAAACAGAAGACAAGAAAACAAAGTTCTCAGAGTTCAAAGGAAGCACGTTGGAGAGTGACGCTATATATACAAGAAAAACATAGTGTTAATAAATTGATGTAGTTATGAGAGAGTACCCATACTTTGTGAGTCGGGTCAGGCACTTAACTTTACACACCTATGTTGGAGTGCCAAATTTATTACAATAACGCGTTGGTGTCCATTCACATGCACGTATAGTTACGAGAACAAAAAAAAAAGAGAGAAAAAGAAGATAAGATAAGATAATTATTTATTACCATTGTTTAGTAAGAACATTATATAATGGAACACATAATGGGATTTTCATTCTCTTTTGTCAATTGTTCTTCGAATCCTTTGTTGTGAAATAATAAGAGTAAGAGTTCCTTCAAACAAAAAAATGTCTACTAACTGCAAAATCTTTGAACCTTAATCAAACCCTTCAGCTGAAAAGTTCCTTCACAAAAAACAATAGTTTTCTCCAACAACGTTAAACCACTGCATGTCATCAATTTACCAAGCCTTTACTTTTTTTGACCCCTTGTAACAGAACTCCATATTGATGAAAATGAACAACTCTATAAGAATGTTTTATAAAAGTTTGTCCAGAGCATAAATGTGGTCCAATAACAAACTCCAAGAAAAAAGGTCTAACCTTTAGGTGCAATATAACATCTACAAATGTTTCTAAAGATCGCAATTATGTAGTACATATGTTTTAAGTAGAATATCAGAACATATTTCTGGAAACTTTCTCCTAACCAAATCTAGTGTATACTCTTTCTCAAAACATTCCATAAGAGAACATCTGTACATTTTCTCAACTTTGCATAAGTAACATTTGTAATTAGATTCGAAAAAATTCAATCAGCCATTTTCACAGCCAAAGCCACCCATTGCTCTACACTCTCTTTCAAGATGAGTTTTTCTCTAAAAATTTATGTAATATAGAAAAACTTCTTCTTAGGAGAACTTCTTAGCTTTATATTATATAAATAAATATAAACTTGACCATTTTATAAGTTGAGTTAGATTTAAATTTATTTTTAATAGTATGTCAAACTTTAAAATATTTGTTAAATCTATATCAGAGTTCTTAAAATAAGTAATTCAATCTAACTTTACCTATTATTTAGAATCGATTATATGTTTATCTAATTTTATCTCATATTAGGTCAACGACTGTAACATGCATTTTTTTACATGGGTTGAAAATTAAAATAAAATAAAGTTTATTCATATGTAAACAACTAATTTAAAAAATAATTTATCCGAAAAAATTAAAAAAGTTAATTTTAAATAAAATTTAAAAAACATATATTTTTAAATTAAAGTTATATTTATAAAATTAATTTTAATTTGACATGTAACAATTTAATATATATAAATTATAACATGTATATATTTAATAAAATAATTATTATTTTATAAAAAAATAACCAATAAAATGAGATTTAATTAACTCAGGAATAATATGAATATGACCAAAATTAATCTAATTTTTTAATTAACTTAATAATTTTGTAAACTTTTCGAATCCACATATCCAACCATACCTATTTTAGCATCTATATATTATCCTATCATTCATAAACTTTCTGAATCTTCTATCCACGTCGTATTTTCGTTTTAAACTTTCACGTTGCATAAACCTTGCCACCATGTTGAACTGATTTACTATTCCTCATATCTTTTGAATTATAATTATCATGAACATATAACATTCTTTAGAGTTATTAATGTAATTTATTTCCCTTAAATACTCTTAGTACATATACCTTATCTACAATATCTACGTCATACTCTGATTCCATTTCTATTCTGTGTAACATCAATACCAATGAAAATGACAAATTTACATAAAAACACACACAATGTTAGTAAATAGTGGTTTCACACACAAACTTTGTGAAGACTATTTTACAGTGCTTTGAGTAGTATAGTCCATTATTAATTAGCATCATAATTTGACGAAATAAATTTCACTGGAAGGGAAGATATTGTTCCACCTACATATCTACTATCTGCTTCAAATTTAATTTTTTTTGTCAACTTTACATATCCTAACATAAATACAAGAGTGAATAGATATATGCTTAAATATTTAGCTACTAATAGTTTAAAAAACTTCCTTTACTCAAATATCCATAATTAATCAAGTTTTTTTTATGTATTTGTAATGTAAAACTCAAATGAAACAGTAATATTTGTCAGCATTTTTTTTAATGTGATATACTCTCGATTATAATAGTTATTTTTTAATTAATTTAAATTGAAGTTATAAATTTTAGCAACTGCCGAGAGTGAGAAAAGAATTATTTACATTTCATTTAGATGAGAAGGTGAATGCCGTAATAAAATAAATAACCAAATAAAAATAAATATGTAACAGTGTCGTACTTCAACTGATCATTGCAGAAAATTTCATCCTCACTGATAAAAATTAAAGATGCAGTAAATACGAAAATTTATGTCCAATTAAAATCTTACTGACACTCGCCTAAAATAATTCATGTTTTTAACGGTCATGGGTCCTCAGCTTTTATCTTCACCAATCAAATTCTTCCACGTCTTTTTCCTTCATTATTATTGAAAAAATCTTTAACAAAAAGAAAAAATGTTTCTCACTTGTTTCATCTTCTTTTCCATTCTAAAGTTTACAAACCACAAACAAAAGTGGAGATTGAATCCGCAGTAAAGTCATAGGTTCAGTTGCTCGCATTATTGGTAGTTGAATCATAACTGAAACAAGCACTGTTGGAGGTAGATATTCAAGGAATTTACCACATGTGTAAAACATTATTCATTATTTATCAATTCTTATTTGAAGGGGATGATACTCTTGAAAGAAAACCAATATGATTGCACAATTGAGGTAAACATGTACTTCTTAATAGAAGTTGCTATATTCATTAAAAAGAAAATAACAAATATCTCATCATAGAATGGATGCGGTGTTTTTAATCCGTAATCCACTTAAGCTCCTCCAGCATAATTCATAGTCCATTTGGATCCACTAATTCGTATAATTTTTATTTCTTATTTTAATTTTAAAATTAATAGGCTATTTAAAATTTCTCATATTATCCAATCTAATTTATTTTTAATTTTTATGTCATTTTATTTATTTTGAATTGAGGTGTTTACAATACGATTTGGTTCAATTTTATACTAAAATGTCATCTCAACCGAATATAAAATTAAATATGTTTTAATTTGGTTTGGTTTTAATCTTTCAAAAATTTAGTTCTTAAAAAAATTCGAACCAAACCAAATTAATATTTTATAATTTAGTTTGGATAATTTTTTTTGGTTTTTTTATAAAATTGTTAAATATATTAAAATAAAATAATTATTAAATAAATAAACATATTATAAAATTATATTTTTTAATTTGGTTTTAAATTAATTATAATTAGAAAAGATTGTAACACAAACACATGAATCTCGCTAGTCCAGTGAAATAGGAAAGACAACTAGAAAAATTACGAAGTTAATTACTAAATTCATTCAAGAAAATTAAAATTTATAACAATTAATGTTTTTTTGTTAAGAGATGTTATTATTATATTTTATTTTGATTTTACAAATTATATGAACATATAAATCGTATGTCCATTACGTACTGTCTAATTTTATTTTAAATTATTATGTGAACCAACCTACATAATTCACACTTATGCGCGTATGCCCGTAAACTTTGCGCAAGTCAAGTCACATTGGCATATCTAAGAATTCTAGACTCTTTCTTCCTTCAACCCATGTTTATCTACAATAACAATATTACTCTTAATATAAATATGTTTCAATAAGTTATTTTAAAAATACTCTTGAACTTTAAGATAAGTTTTCATATTTTACATATAATATAGAGATGCACAACAGACTATTGGAATGGTGAAAAAAATCTTGGCATGCAAAGAGGTGCAGCCCAAATCTATAATAATTTACTGTATTTTCTTTTACTTGGGCCGCTACACATTTTGGGAGGCATATTGTTCCAGTTTTAGGCCTGACTTGACAAGCCCCGTTGGAATGTGGCGGGGTTGTTTTAATCTCTTTCTTTCACGTCACCCCAGAAATAATTACTAGTTTTCAAAATTAGTGTGAGGATCAAGATACACGAATTCTCTCAACTACCGCACGATCGATGTTAGGATATATAAAAATAAAAAACCAAGAAAATAATGTAGAGGATAAACCAAAAACTACAAATTTATAATCGTTATAAAATATATATATATGAATTTGTAACTTAGCATAACGCTAGTTAACTACTACAGAAACAAGCAAGAGTCACTTATCTCTTCTTAAAGTATGTTTTAACTACTACAGAAACTTAGTATATGTTGTCAAAAAATAATAAAATTTGCGTCCCCTTTAACATTTTAGCAGTAACTAGTAATTTTTAATGGTTTAAAGTATTGATCAAACGAAGAGTTCTTCCTGGGAATAGGAGCAAGGAGCAAGCAAGGTTTGAGTGCGGTATTTTGCTCTATATGGATGTACACTTTAGTCAATGTGATAAGGACAAAGATTTTAAAAAACTGTATGGAACCTCTCTAAAAATCATGATGCTTTAGCCAAAAAACAAATACAACAGTGGAAGGTGTGATGAGGAAGTGGACCTGGTCCAGTGTCTCTCAATCGGTATAAGATGAGGAGGATCTAGGTTTCTTCTATTGCTGAGTGATTAATTAAGTAGATGCTGCTATGTGCAAATGAAAATCAAATTCTCTTTTCATTTCATTGCAAGTTTATCACCCTGACTTATTGGATACTAAACCGCATTCACTATAAGACAGTAATCCATTTTCAGTTAATGTCCGTGAGTACTTGTACATTAGTTGGTTATGACAACATAATTCTCATATTAACTTCTTGGGTAATCCAAGTAAACCTAAATCAGACATTAAATAAGAATGAAAA